TCAATAACCAACACAACAACTGATTCGTCTAAGTCAGGGATTCTGAACGTGGGGCACACGCCCCACAGAGAGGCAATTTGAATATATTGGAGGCAATTTAAAAATGCTACAATAAGAAACAAATTTAATTTGGGTGTGAAATTTTGGTAAATTTCTAAATTCTACATTATATTATTATACCTTTCAACATCAAATTTGTTTTTATATAAAGGGAGTATCAAATTTTTTGAGGTGTCGAGGTAGGGCATGGAGCAAAAAAGGTTAAGAACCACTGGTCTAAGTTCTCTCAATAATCAAAACCATGACTGTTTCATTTTTTGTTCTATTAATAACTAATGTCATGATTTTTACACCTTTATTCTGTCAATAACCAATACAATGGTTTTTAAAACCAGGACTGTTTATTTTTTTTATGCTATTAATAACTAATATCATGATTTTTATACCTTTATTCTGTCAATAACCAATACAATGGTTTTTAAAACCATGACTGTTTATTTTTTTTATGCTATTAATAACTAATATCATGATTTTTATACCTTTATTCTGTCAATAACCAATACAATGGTTTTTTTATCTCTTTTCCGTCAATAATCAAAATCACGAATGTTTTATCTTCGTTCTTTAATACTTAACATCATGGCAATAGTTAGTTGTTTGTTTTGAAGTTAAGCACAAAGCTACACAGTGGGCTATCTGTGTTCTGCCCACCACGGGTATCGAAACCCACAATAGTTAATACCACGAGTATGTTTTATCAATAACTAATACCACGAGTATGTTTTATCAATAACTAATACCACGAGTATGTTTTATCAATAACTAATACCACGAGTATGTTTTATCAATAACTAATACCACGAGTTTGTTTTTATCAATAACCAATACCACGAGTTTGTTTTTATCAATAACTAATACCACGAGTATGTTTTATCAATAACTAATACCACGAGTATGTTTTATCAATAACTAATACCACTAGTATGTTTTATCAATAACTAATACCACGAGTTTGTTTTTATCAATAACTGATACCACGAGTATGTTTTATCAATAACCAATAGCACGAGTATGTTTTGTCAATAACTAATACCACGAGTATGTTTTATCAATAACTAATACCACGAGTATGTTTTTATCAATAACTAATACCACGAGTATGTTTTATCAATAACTGATACCACGAGTATGTTTTTATCAATAACCAATAGCACGAGTATGTTTTATCAATAACTAATACCACGAGTATGTTTTATCAATAACCAATAGCACGACTGATTTTATTTTGTCTATCAGTTATCGATACCGTGACTATTTCTTCTGTCATTAACCAATAACTTGGATTGTTTTATCTTTACCCTCTCAATAAATAATACCACAACTGTTTTATCTGTATTCTGTAAACAACAAAATCCACGGTTGTTTTACTTATTTTCACAACTTTTAACTTATTTCGTCGTAACTTATCTGTAATGATCAGTACACGACTTTCCTGTATATCGAAAAGTGCTATAGATGGGTTACTTTATAGACCCCAACGACTCAGATATCGAACTTGAGCTGTCAACTTGTTAAAACAATAAATTGTTTGTTTGTTTGAAGTTATGCACAAAGCTATACAATGAGCTATCTGTGCTCTGCCCACCACGGATATCGAAACCCTGTTTCTAGCGTTGTAAGTCCGCAGACATACCGCTGTGCCACTGGGGGGCTAAAATGATAAAAGAATAATTACATATGATGTCGTAAACTCAAGATAAATCCAGACAATATATTCTAAATAATATTCATTTTACACAGACCACACCTTCTACGCCTATGTCACAATATCCTCTGTTAAAGCACCACGTAAATTCTTGATTGGACGTAATTAGAACAAAAATACCATTAAATATTGTTATCTATTTGCAAGTAAAATCGAACACTAGCACATTATCCGGTACACTGTTCATACGCAGAAACGACTTACGATCAATAGGTTGTTAGATAAATATATATATCAAACTCTCACGCTGATACGAGAACTTGTACGTTAAAAACTGTCTTCTAAGAAATAGGAGCGTTGAGTAATTTACTCACTATAATCATACATAAGTCCGGAGATTTGAGTGTGTTTTTTAAAACTACCAAAGGGGTTGTATACTAATTACAGTTGGAAGTTTCCTTCTCAGTTCTTTAAAATGACAAAAACCCCTTGCTTCAGTACAAGGACATTTCACTTATCATTGAAAGCTTGTTCCATTAGAATTAATTGCTACAGTTGACTACTCTGATAATTCATGGTATGAATATCGATTGAAAGGAATGTAGATTACGATGGAAGATGGAGACGAGAATGAGAAAACGTGGAGTGAAGAGAGTACTAGAAGCTTTCAAAGATAATGAAACCAGAGCATACATTCCGACGTTCTGTTTGTTAAGCACATATTGACCATAAAGCTGTGTTAACAAGAGCCCTACATTACTTTGAATCGCATTTCCTAGTTAGTCAATTTTTAAATAGAGAAATAATGTAAAGTATCTTTAATACTTTTTAATGTTCACTATATAATCACATGAGCCGTCACTCTTCCTTAAGCACCCCTAACAACGTAGCTTAAATATCTCAATATCACTTAAATATCTCAAGGTTTTTAAGCACTCTTGAAACTGTCCCGAGCTTCTGAAGTTATTACTCTAATCTAAAAGTAATCGAATACAGAAAAACGTGTCGTCCAAAGTCTGTTGTTGTTTTTTTATAAATATATAATAGATGCAATATTTTAAAATATACTTATGAAAAACATGTTTCGTATGAACTGTAATATTTTGATCCTCATCCTGAATATTTTTAGTTTAAACATATTATCTTAAGAAATAGAAATAATACTTTGTTATACAACATCATATACACATACTCGTCATCGGAGAACAAAGTTTGGAAATAGAAATAATACTTTGTTATACAACATCATATACACATACTCGTCATCGGAGAACAAAGTTTGGAAATAGAAATAATACTTTGTTATACAACATCATATACACATACTCGTCATCGGAGAACAAAGTT